ACCAATATGGAGAAACATATGAAGATTAGTGGCAACATGTTTTTGGACATTGGAAATAAGAATGGATTATGATCAAATGATTTAATGTGCTCAAACTAAGTCGTTTGATAAATTTCTACCCATCATTAGTTCTTCTTCACTGGGGTTTGTATCAAAGAACATCCACGCAAAAGAAAGGCCCATAGTTCCAATGAAAACTGCGAAAACTCCTTCCAACTTCCTCACTCCATAGTTCTCGAGAAATAGAAAAAAAAAACTGTTCAACCAGACACCAAAAAAAAAACCAGAATTAAAAACAGTGAAACACAAGATTTATTTATCTTTCCACATCTTTAAATTAAGCATAGTAAACTGGTGTTATTGTATGATTTTGAGAACTTGAACAGCCAGGATAAGAATACAAAAAAGCTTAACACAAGTCTTGCAAAAGATTGTTTGAGTAATTCTAAACCATCGTACATCATCTTGTTATAATCTTTTTGTTTCCTTTGTATAGTAACTGTCGAATATTTTTTACATCTTCAAAACATTTAGTGCATGCTTAGATAACCTTAAAGTACGTTTAAAAGATACAAAAAAGAATCATTTTCCAAAAGTATGTTTAGAATATATATATATATATATGATATTACTCAATCTGATAAACTTACCAATCCGTGGCTGTGATAACCACACCAGCCCAAATGGGGATAAGGCCATGGCTAAGAATCTTGAAAGCAATGGCACTGCCAATAACCTCCTGAATATCAGCAGCAATGAGAGCCATCTCAGCCAAGATCCACAGAACCAACCTTGCCCAATTGGAGTACTCCTCCCTGCACAGCTCCGCCAGGTGCCGCCCGGTCGCCACCCCGAGCCTCGCCGACAGAAGTTGTATCACCAACCCCATGATGGTGGACCACATCAACAACCAAAGCAAGGAGTACCCTGCAATCGCACCAGCTTGAAGATCCCCTTCGAGGTTCCCCGGGTCCAAAAACGCCACGCTCATCAACAACCCTGGCCCCGTGAACAGCCACAGCTTCCTCCACGAAAACGGCGGCACCGCCGTGGACCCTGCTGCGCCGGAAGACTCCAAGTCAAATATCTGCACCTTGTCCTTGGCTGCATACACGGAGTCTTTCTCTTCTTCTTCTTCTTCTTCTTTGTCTGCATGTTCCCAGTTTGAGGGTAATACATGGGGTGAAGACAACGGTATTGACTCGCATTCTGAATGTAACAAATGGTTTTCTTCTTCCTCCTCCTCTTCTCGGTTTTTCTGTTTGCCTTGTTGCTGTTGTTGTGACTGAGAGTTCATGTTGCATGCAGTTATGGAATAACGACATCTTTTCTCATGGTGTTTGGGGTTGATATATTTTCTCTTCTTCTTCTTCTTCTTTGTCTGCATGTTCCCAGTTTGAGGGTAATACATGGGGTGAAGACAACGGTATTGACTCGCATTCTGAATGTAACAAATGGTTTTCTTCTTCCTCCTCCTCTTCTCGGTTTTTCTGTTTGCCTTGTTGCTGTTGTTGTGACTGAGAGTTCATGTTGCATGCAGTTATGGAATAACGACATCTTTTCTCATGGTGTTTGGGGTTGATATATTTTCCTGTTCATCTTGTTTTGGTTTCGTGGGATGGGAGAAGAAGATGGAGAGAATTTAGTGCAATTATATCTATGGCTGCGCAATCAATAATTGAGACCGCATGCTATTTTTGTACAGTTCTCCTATGTTTATGTCCAAACTGCTATATTTTTGGAGATACTAATCAGATCATTTGATTCGCTATTTTGAGAGCCTCGCGTGTTGCAAAAGTTGGTGAATGAAAGCAGATAAAATACCGATTACTGAGAAATTGTTACAAGCTGAATTAACACAAACCAAACCCATCGTAAGTATAACTTTATGCTCTTTGTATTGATCACTTGAAGTCTTAGTTTTCCAGTTGAGAAGATTTGCTCCACATCGAAAAGAGTAAACTCCAATATTCTTCTTTGTATTGAGTGGCATATGAGAACATGATCTGATACTTCAGAAAAATATAATGTAACCAGAGAGCATAACCCATTTGGAAATGAAATCTAACCTCAACTAGGAAGTTGCAATGTTGGTTTGGTTTGTTTTGTTTTTGAATTCCAACACACAAGTTGACATTGGGTGTTACACATGTAATTATGAGAGGTTTAAAGATTTTGTAGGATGGCACTAGAATATAAAAGATAATAATTTATATATAAATTGTCTAAATTTAGATAGACTTAAAAAGCATATTCATCCATGAAATTTTATATTTTTGTAAATTCTGTCAGAATTTTTAATTTCTCAAATTTTACTATCTCAGTTTTAAAATTGTACGTACTTCAAATTCATCTATAATTTTCTCATTTAAGTTATTTTACCACTATTCAGATATTTTTTTAACGTAAGAAAATCAATAGGATAAATTAAACAAAAATAGTTCAACATAGAGAATTTTTACGTAATTCATTGGCATGTCGTTACCCTCCCTTCTTGTAAAAATTGTCTCACATGAGTCACTTGTCACACTCGATAGTCAATTAAAAAAATAAAATATATATAATTTTTATAGTATATCACACCATTAGTTATTTAATAATTAATTAATAAAAAATAAAAAGGTACAATTTTGAGACTTAAATTAAAACTGTAGTTATAAAGATAAACAAAATAGTAATTAAATGATAAAAGATATAATTGAATCAATTAAAGCTAGCTGGAGACACACTAAACAGAACAGAAACTACTTACTGGCTACTCGTGTTTTTCCTATGTGCTTGTTTGGTTCGTCAAGGTCAAACAAAAATCAAGTTTAATTTTCAAAAGATGATTCTAAGGTGTCTTTTTTGGTCAAACATAGAGAACCGTGTCTAAGAATAAAAATAGAGAACACATGCACAAGTTGAGAGCGTCAAGACAACACTAAGAAGAAAACTAATGACTGTCTCCTCTGTTATGAAAATTCAGTAATAGCAAATATCAAAACTGCATAAATACCATCGTATAGTATAATCCTTGAGCATATACAACGGGAAATGATACGAAAATTTAGGGCTTACATACAGTATACTAAGCAGTGATCAAATTTTTCATACAGCTCATCAAACCTTTATTTCGATTACAGTTTCACTTTGCACAGAGTGTAGAGTACAAAATCTCAATCCAAACATAAAAAAATTACAAAACTTTAGAACAGCACACCATAGTATTTCATTTGGAGTATTCATTACTTAATTGATTAACCTTGGAAAATTCAAATGATACTAATCTGACCACTCAGAGATAAAGGAAGTATGGTCCATGGACTCCCCGGGCACATCCTCATGCTTAGAGGGTGTCTCCTTCCCACCAACCAACCTCGCCGGGTTCCCAACTGCGGTGGTCCTTGGCGGCACCATCAATCAAAACCACCGAGCCGGCACCAACCTTTGCACCTTCCCCAATCTTGATATTTCCCAGAATTGTAGCACCAGCGCCAATAAGCACCCCATCCCCAATCTTGGGATGCCTGTCACCACCAACCTTGCCAGTCCCGCCCAGCGTGACATGGTGCAGAATGGATACATTGTTCCCAATCACCGCTGTCTCCCCCACCACCACCCCAGTGGCATGATCAAACAGAATCCCCTTCCCAATCCTCGCCGCCGGGTGAATATCCACCGCAAACACATCAGCAATCCGAGAGTGCAGTGCCAATGCCAACGGCCGCCGCGATTGCCGCCACAACAGGTGTGCCACACGGTGCGCCTGCAAATCCCAATCACACAAACAATTAACCCTAAGATTCAATAATTAACAAGAGTAAATAGTCCTTGTACTGATGTAAATTGTCACCCCAGAAATTGTCATTGTCATGTCTGACAATCAGAAATTATAATCTAATCAGAAACGATGATGAATAGTCAACCCAGAAATCGTCATGTCGGATAAATTTGTGAACTTTATAATAATTACTTTAGAAATCATGACAGTACAATCAATATTAAAACTCAACTAATCAAAACCATAAACCGCAAACTGTCAATTAATCAAACTTAAATTATTAAACCAGAAATCGTTATGTACGACAAGTTTATCCACTTGAACAATAAGTCCGTCACAAGCTATACATACATGATTTCTGAATGGATGATGATGTGAATTGCAATTAAACTGAATTAGCACAAAAACCTAGAACGGAAGGATTCAGATCCCCAGAATTGAGGAATGAAACAAGGAATTGGACCTGGCCAGGCGAGGAAGCCTTTTGTAATTGAGAAGACAGTGAGAGTAGGAAACGCAGGCAGGGTCACGTTCGCGGGCAGCGCGGAGGTCCGCGACGGCGGCGGAACTGAGCGAGGGGTCGGAGGAGAAGGCGTTGAGGAAGAGGTCGTAGAGGAGAGTGGATAGTAGCGTAGAAGAACAGAGCTTGTTACCCAGGTGGAACGAGAGAGAACGTTCGAGCGAGGAGTGCGAGAGGATCGTCGAGTACAGGTAGCTCGCCAGCGCCGGCTCCGACTCGGCGTCGCGGCGCGCCTCCGCCTTGATCTGAGCCCACACCCAGCCCTCGTCGTCGCTCGAGACGACGGTGTTCGCCGCCGGTAGCCCCGTCGGCATTGTTTGGTGATGTGTTGCGATTATGGTTTGGCGTTGAGGTTTGTGCGGTTGAGAAACTGTGAAAAAAGTGTGGCACTGTGAGAAACAAGATTAAGATCCAAGAAACGAAGAGGGACAAGACAACCATTCACTCCTTCGTTGGGTATTCACGAATCAAAAGCCTATATGAGCCGTGGGTGTGCCGGGAGTTGTGGCTGAGTGCCCATGCCTGGCACCGGTCAACGGGAGGAAAGGAAAGAGAGAGAGAGGAGAGAGAAGAGGAGGAGAGAGATAGATAAGAGAGGACCGCGAGTATATAAGAATTTTTTTTATAAATATAATTATCAAAGTTTAAATAATATAGAAAAAAACAAGGGAAATAAACGTCACTTTCAACTTAGTGAAAGAAGATAATGTTGACAAGAGACATGTGATACTATATAAATTTAGTCAATATTTTTATAATAAAATTTGTTATTAACAAAATTAATAAATCTTCATGTAATAAAGTGAAGGATTGTTTCAGTTTTTACATAATTATTTATAGAAATAAAAACGTTCTTATTCCTTCCGAAATTAAAAAAATTGTTAAACATGGTTCCTTTTTTAAATCTAATTATTCATTTCTTTTCTTGTATTATCTGATATTGTGAAGATGATAGTTGGTTTTCAAAGAGTGCCTTGGACGGTCATTTAGTCGATTTTTTATATTAAATATAAAGTTTGTAGAATTCTAAGATAATAAATATTTACTAAGAACATTTAATGATAGTAATATTCTTAATGATAATATTGGCAGAGACAATTTACAGAATTTGTCACAAGGGTCCTCCTTCAAACATTAAAAAGAAACAAGTTGATTTTATTTTATTTTTTTTTCTTTTTGGTCTTTTGAATGTGTGTTTTTTCTTGCAGAAAGTGATGTGTTCTATTAACTTGCACTACCAGACATGTGAAGCTATCCATGAATCTGGTTGTGATTATGAGCATGGTTCCTGTGTTCTTCATGTTTACCTCTTTATATAACTCCTATATTTTTCTTCCTCTTAAAAAAATATTCTATTCTTTTTAGTCGAGTAAAATTATTCAAAACAAATCTCTTTCTTTTAATATATAGTTGTATATTTAGAACAAAAATATTTTATTAAATTAAAACGATGATATATTAATTAATCTTTCATTTAATTAAAACGATGATATATTAATTAATCATTTAATTAAAACAACAGTGATAAAAAGACACACAACATCTGGAAAAATATCTATTACGTTATAATAGAAAGGGAACTATATGGTCTTTTTAAAACTTAAAGGTTCGTGGGGAAATTATGAATTTAGATTTTATATTGGATTTTTTTTTTCTATTGTGTTTTCAAAACAGTGAATACTTTTAAATATTTTAAAATATATTCAAAAAAATGGTAATAAAAAATCTGGACTAAAAAATTATAGGGGCATGAAGAAGACCACAAAACCCCACACTTCTTCTCCCACTGCTTGGAGCTGCACTTTTCGGCCTTTCTTCCATTCTCGCGCTGGTTTTTCCTGCACGGGAAAAAGGTTCCACTTTTCCCCGCAAACTCGAGTACCCTTTTACGGGTTTTGGCTTTTTTCGCTTTACCAATTCCAATATTGCGGAGCTTTCCGGAGATATTTATTTGGTGGTCGAAGGGCAAGAAGGTTATAGACTTCCCGTTGCACGTGTGAGAGAGTGAGCGAGCCAACTGGGTTCTACGATCTCCTTCTTAATCTTCTCCATCTTCACCTTACTGGGTAAGCGCAATGCAATTCTTCGCATGTTGATGTTTTCCATTCACTTTGTTTTACGCTGATCAGTTTCTGTTTCCGTTTCTGTAGCTCTGCCATGCTCGCATTATCGAGAGGCTTTGGTTTCGCGTCTGCAACGTTTGGCCATCGATTCACCCTCGCCGCTCCGATTTCTTAGTTACGATGCAGCGATTCAGACTCGGATTATTGATCCAAAAACCCGGTTGATGACCTCAATTCCAGCGAACTGGGCTTATAGCCGGTAAAGTGTGGAATGAGCGCTCTTTGGGATAAATGGGATGCTAGAATCCCAATCACTGTGCTTTGGGTGGATGATAACATTGTGTCTCAGGTTAAGACCCCAGAGAAAGAAGGTTTTTGTTCTCTCCAGGTACACCTCTTTCCTCTTCTAGTTAACCCTTTCTAAAACCTGTAATTTCTTCTACTGTATTTGTTGACTGCATTTGAAATTTAAGGTTCACCTGAGTAACATTAAGTTTGTACAGAATGTTCACAACTATATGACTATGGTTCACATTTTCCCAGATTTGCATAAACAGTATCTTTCTGCGCCTTAGGCTTGCATTTTGCAAGATAGACTTTTGGTGCTGCATAATCTCAAAGAAATGTAGGAAAATTAATAGCCAGTCTAAGTCTCAATTGTATATAGTTTACATACTTGGTGAAGTTCAATGAAACGATGTACATGAACAACTGCATTTTTGCACTAGGAAGGAAAGAAATGATGATTAAAATAAGCCAGTATTCAAGTTGGTGCAGACATTACTGACAGTTTACTACACCTCGTTAAAGATCTTTAGATTGTTTTGGGTTGATTGAAACTTAGAACCAAATAAACAAATTGGATTGAAAGTTGGCTCAATTTACTGAACTGGTTTAAGAAAATGGGTTTGGGTTATTAAAATGTTTAAACAGTTTGAATGGTTTGTGGTGTGGTTCATTTAGCTATGCCTTGGTTTTTACAGTGTTATGCTTTAAAGCGTTTGGGTGTATCTAACTATAGACTTTTTGGTGTTTTGTTTCTTGTTAGATTGGTTGTGGACAGAAGAAGGAAAAACATTTGACCAAGCCTGAAGTTGGTCATTTTAGGGCACAATGAGTTCCACTGAAGAGAAAGCTTAAGGAGTTCCCAGTGACAGAGGATGCTCTACTTCCTGCAGGAACATCACTTAATGTTCGCCATTTTGTTGCCGGCCAGTATGTTGATATCACGGGAATAACCAAAGGAAAAGGTTTTCAGGTGTTTTTCCCCTTCCTTCAGGTTCAAGATTGTTTTACCTTTTGTAGAAGTCAATTACTTTGTACATGTATCTACCCTGTGATGCTTTTCCTTTTATTTAATTTTCTGTATACTTGCGAAGAATCCTTCAAGGTGAATAAAAAGGGCACCAAAAGGGTGCTTTCCAGTTTTGTGGGATCTCTTCAAATCATGAGCGTGAATTTTAAATATGATTTTTGTTTCCAGGGTGTGATGAAACGGCATGGATTTAAGGAAATGCCCGCATCCCATGGTGCTTCATTGTCCCACCGAAGCCTTGGTTCTACTGGTCATATAACTGGTCCTGGAATACTTCCTGAGGCGTGTAGATCACTGTCCTTAAGGAATTATCCGCGGTGTATTGCGCAAGCCCTCAAGGATACCAACAGGAACTTCTCAGAATTTCTGAGGATCCAGAACTAGCAAGGATCTCTTAAAAATGAGAATAAATAAACCCAGAATATTGTTAGGGAAAGGAGAGAATGAAATTAGGATAAAAGAGAAAGGAGAGAAGAATGATTCTGATCATATTTTATGAATTGAAAGTAAAGCTCTATTATATAGCCTAGGAGGAAACTAACCATCCTTGCCTGGAGGAGTACTTCACGTAAAAAATGGCACCAAACCTTAAAATTAAAGTACAAAATCGGTGGCTGTTGGAGAGAGAAAAGCACCGTTGGAAACAAACAAGAACGTTGCACACCAAAAGTGACGTTGGCTGCGTGCATATAGGAAAATATCTCTAAGACAGACTTGCGGTCCAATCTCAACTTCCTCCGCAAGTGATGGCACATATCTTTGCAATATTTTATTAATAAATAATAACAATCCCCCCATATTACAAAAGATAAGAAACAATGATGG